TTCTATGTGCTTGCGTCGTGTCTTTGTACTTGGTCTTTCAACGACTTTTTAGTCGTAGCGCCATCTATGAGAAATCTTTGACAGATTTATCACCCAGTTAGTACCTTTACTTTATATAGCGTCTGGCACGGTATGCAAGAAGACGTCGGTTCGAATCCGACCGGATCGAAGGAATTTTTTCTGAGTGCTTTTTCTGAGTGTTCGATCTTTGTATTAATAATTATAACAAACTAGTGGAGTAATTTCACAAAAAATAATTGAATATCAATTCAATAAAAACTTAATTAAATCTTTATTTGTTTATAGGGTTTTACAAATGCCACCCTCTTGGTGGCTCTATTAATCTACTAATTTTTTAGCCTAATTATCTCCTTGACTAATTTATATAGCAGCATCTTCAGAGGTTGCGCCATGAAAGCATAGTAGCATAGTGAGTTTAAACAAACTCTACCACGGGATAAAGGATGGTATCGCATTGGTTGTGTACAATCACCAGCCAGTCACGGCCTGTTTTTTCATCATTTAAGTAACCAGCAATAGAGACGAAATAAAGGGCCATCCATCCCTGGAAACTCATGAGGCAAATGGGCCTTATATCTCTTTTAAATATCAATTCTCGTTTGCGCTGAAATCACAAATTAGAAAACTGAAATACTACGTCTCTGTATATTCCAAAAATAATCTGTATTTATTGTAATAAAGATAACATCTCTAACAATGGGGGGGTGTTGCATTTGGTGGTGTGGGAAAAACAGCAAAACATCTAATTACAAAACAAATGGAATCCATTTCATCGGTAATTAAATATTAAATATGTAATTTTTCATTTTTTGTCCATTAAAGCAAAGCTCTAGTTAATTGGTCGATTTGAAGTGAAACAATTGACGACACCCGTCAATTGTTTCGCATTCGGACTGGCCAATCGGAGCGCAGTTGTCACCGTAATGATTTGGCAGAATAGTTTTCAAATTAAATGACATTACGTCTCTTATTCCTGGTTGAATACTCGATGGTTTTTTCTATCAAGCTGGTTTGCTTCAGTGTTGGCTCTTTTCCTATTTTCATCAACAGTACACAATAATTGATTACCTAACGTGAAATCTGCTGAAGTCAAGTGTTCAAAATTGGGAGAAACCTTGTCAAGCATGAGTCTGATCCGATCTGGTCAGTATTAGCAGTACAATGAAGCGACAACCTTTGACAGGTGAAGCCGTACGTGCTGGACGACCAGATGTGTGACGAGTGCGCGGGCGCGCGCTGCGGATCAAAGTTCGCGCCTTTCTTCTGCGCCAACGTCACTTGTCTGCAGGTATGCTTACCTCAATTACGCTTCATTTTCTCGTCCTTTGTTCTTCAATGTTTCCATGTTTACCTCTATTATTTGTTCCTTTGTCGCAAAGCTTACCAATCTCCCTTCTTAATTCCCTTCACTGGGGACTATAAACGATATTGTCTTACCGATTCCTAGCTATAGTATGAATCATATTTATATGTCCAAAATGTAAACAAAGACCCCTATCGTCTTATTTTTGAAGATAATAAACATTTACGAACTTTTTTTAATTTTACAGCTTAAAACGCTTCACAGTAATTTCGTTTAATACAATACAATAACACTACGTCGTCGTAACACAATTGGGATCGAAAACATTTTTCCCGTGTCATAGATGTCATTCATTTCTCAAACTATGGTTTTCTCCATAGTGCGCAGGTTTTTGTTTGTTAATATTTTGTAACAAATGATTAAAATTGCAGAAAATGAGACCTTCCTCCTTTTCCAATTCCGTTAAAAACAGAATGTTTAGCACACCTGCATTCACATTTTGACATTTGGTTCAAATGGGCAAAGTACGCTGTAAAAATCATCAACGAAAAAGAAACACTTTGACATTTGTTAGTTTACATTTTGGACGTCTAATTATTACTATGCCTGACTGTCGACGCCTCCTTGTCCTGGACTCACCGCCAATGTCCGGTTGCAGTATTACTGCGAGCACTGCTGGGCGACGATCCACTCCCGGCCGGGCCGCGAGTTCCACAAGCCCCTCGTGAAGGAAGGCGCCGACCGCCCGCGCGCCGTGCCTTTCCGTTGGTGCTAAGGCTGCACCGCATTCACGGGGAAGTGTTGCGCATTTTGGGCTGCAACTTGGTTGCTTCAAGTACTTTTCTAATGGCAACATTGGTCCACGGAAACTAAATTACTACCACAAATTAAAATGCTACCGGAAGTGACGGCTTAAAAATGATTTATAGGTCTGGCAACACTTTGAATTTCGGTTTCGTTTCCAACGAGTAGTCTGGACTTTATTAGTATTAATTTTGGGTGCTATTTGTTAAACGGTTTAGTACCCAATTGTAATTTAAAAGGTAGTCGTTATTTCTGGAAAGATATTCGGTATTATTGTTGTATGTAATACAATTTCCGCGAGTCTATTGAGTGCAAAATTGCATTATCAATGCCGTACTGAAAGCCCAAAAAAACACAACACTTGCCGATCGTCACTACCACACGCCGCAGTCTCTACAGAGTGGAATTATTTCTAAAACTAGGATAAGGAGTATCTAGTACTCCATAATCTTTTCCCTTAAGGGTTTCTATAGCAAAAATAATAATAGAAATAATTTTACTCATATAAATCTGCCCAACACACGTCGGAAGGTACGGAAGGAACTTAGAAAAACCTAGCCTAAATAGTATTTAGATAAAAAATTAGTCGAAAATTTTTGACATAGCTTAGTCCATTGGTCATCTAACGACCACTAGTTTTCTATTTTCTGTTTAGACGAGGTTTTTAATGTAAGAAAACCTGGAACGTTAAAAGTTTTGCCATTCGATTATACGTTTTTGATATAATAATGGCAAAAAATAAATTCCTCGTGGTAACCGGATGTGACAAACTTCTTAATCTGGTCAAATGCCAGGTTTTGAACACAGCGATCCCGTTTTAGGAAATTTTTGAAAAGCAACATTATCCAACGTTTATTGAATAAGCAAAAAAAAAATTAGGATTCAAGTACAACAGGCTCTATTCACTTTTTCACGCAACCCAACGTGGTGTTGCCAGTTTTCAATTAAACTGCACATTTGATGGTTTTCGACGTGTTAAAGGGAATGGGGTTTTTCGAATTAAGCAAAATGTGTATCCAAAACTTTAGCTAGATGTCAGTTTGGTAAGCTCTTGAATTGAGGGGCGCACTTTTTGACAAGATTCTGAAAATAATACTTTGGTATCCCTTCATCTACTTTCGTATCCCTTCATCTATGTTAACTTCAACTTCAAAGGCTATGTTAACTTATTGCAATTCAACATAAGGGGTTGCTTTATTGTTGAAATTTGAACTTTTTGAAAAAATATATAAGGACTTGAATGTAAAAGGTGTAAAACCAGAAAAACGTTATGGCCACTTTTCACGAAGTACCTACCGTACTTTCTGGCTTCGTCGTAGTAGCGCAAAAAAGGAGTTTTCTGTATTTGTCAACAGGTGCGCTACCCTCACGTTAGTAAGATAATATAAGACATAAGTGAATTGTCGGATTTTTCATAATTGTACCTGTGTAGTTAGATCGAATTCCCCTGAGATTCTCGTATTTATTTTTGTATTGACTTGGATATTGTTGCGTCGTCCCGTTCTTTCCAATTGTTAGCCACAAGGTTCCTTTAATGGCTGACACAGAAGAACAAATATATCTCTTTTGTATCTTCATACAGAAATCTTCAGCCATTGTGACAAAAGTATCAGCGACAGAAATGGCTTTAAAGCCATAGCCCTCAAAGTTCTAAGCTTATGGTTTTTTATAGGGTCGGTCTTCGTAAGTCCAAACACGATTTTGCAGGTGTTCTAGTAGGCTAACAGTTGGCTAAGCTCCGTTATTTTGAAAGGCAATTCGTCTTTCCAAAAATGTTTGGACTTTTTTCGACGGGATAGAAGTATGCTTTTGTTCCTATACTTACTTTTCCCGGAAGGCGATAGGGACTGGATTTTTAGTACAAAAAAAAAACATTAAAACGTTACCAATTTTGGCTGTAGTTATTGCTCTTAACTCTTCTTATATTTTAGCGTTAAAAATATATTAAAAGAATATTTTTTGAGTCGCCGGGAGAGTGCAATAGAGTGTAGATTAGTAACTAATATTATTAACCAATTTATTCTAGTGTAAATAATTCGAGTTTGCCTTTCCTTCACTCGATTTTTTGAGGTTTCGAATCCTCTGTGCGCAGGAGACAGTGCTGTTTTGTCCCAGTATAAATCTTTTGCCCGCACGTGATATCTAGGGCTTTTTTTAACCTACTTAAAATCCAAAATTACAATACATCACTTGTTGTGTCAATTTGGGTCACTGGAGCACTTGAAATCTCGTGGGACAACTTCTATGAAAGTATGGGAGTAAACAGCAAGAGGTAATGCATGAACACAAAAAAATGAACTCGAGAGATTGCTAAGCCTATACTAAACTGTCGGATGTTTCTACATCGATTTTGATCATTTGAAAGTATTTTGAAAACCGACGTATTTTCATGAGACCATAAATGAACCTGTGGTGGGTCAGTCGAGCAGTTTCGTTTTATCCCAACAACGGCATTCCAAAGAAGAATCATTGACAATGACGTTCGTTGGGCCAAAGATAAGATTCTTTACAATATTTCAAGCGATCAAAATGACATAATCTGCGCACACAAAAATAAGGCACCCTAAGAACGCTATGACGCGGACACTGACGGCTTTTTATATCATGTACTTAACGAAAATATAATGGTTATAAGTGGATACTTGCGGACACGTATCTCGACCAACCACGGCAAATAGACTGTAGTTAAAAGACTTGCGCGAATTTTTTGATGGTTTTTTTCATGATTTTGACAACGGTTTTTTCGTGTTGTGTATCTTTTCGAAAAAGTAGGGGTGTTCCACCCTGGTCCGATCGGTAATCGGATCAGTCTGTGCATTTTTGTTATCCACGACTCACGGTACAACGTGCATGGAGAATGCATGTGCAATTCGCAACTTCTTTTGACTTAAATAATATGGACGAATGAATGGGCACTACCATTGGTTACACTGGCAAACGTAAAAAGAGTTCCCATTAAACCGGTTGATCGTATTACCGATCGGACGAATGAGAACACCCACAATTAGTGAGGCTCGAAGTGCCTTGGAGAAGTGGCGATATTTATTGGTGTTTCCTCACTCGACTTTACGCGTCCCTCAAACAGCTGCGAAATCGGTTAATAGTAATTTTTCAAAATATAATTACCAATCGAAAATCACGGTCGGTCGCTAAGAAGGTTGTTTGAACAACACCTTACACAGTGGTCGCAATATCAAAATTTTCCAGCAGTATTTCCAAAAGAATTCGTTTAATATCTTGACTGCCTTGTACGAGATCTTCAATGGTCACGCGACCACTGTGTTGCAGCCTTAATCTCGTCCGATACCTATAGAGTAGTGAAAGTAAGCTGCTTTTCCCGTTGGTAGGACGTCGACATTTCCCGCCGGTCGGACCAACAAATCTTGGTCACGCGTTTTTGATAAAACACAATGAGTTTACCCTTTATTACCCGTTTTCAATTTTTATTCCACTTTAAACTATTGCCTCGGCTTAGCCTCCTAATATTGTCCCTTAAAGTTTGTCCATTTATGATAAAGAGGATGATGTATGGTCCGCACACCAGTGTCGGTCATATTTAGCTTGCCACGGAATAAGTACTAAATGGCTATATAAGGAATAAAAAATGGAAAAAACAGGTATATTGAAGAGTTGCTCCAGCAGTTATGTGGTCATGGCAATGTTTCAATAACATAGCCTCGTTGTTAGAACCCTAGGGTCGATTTCATCCAACAAATTGTAAAAAGGTTTGAAAATTAATTCACAAAATATTTTAAGCCTGGCTTTAATTGAGGTGAAAAGGACCCTTTCGATATTTCTAAAAATTAAGTAGATCCAATTTGTATAATTAGTAGAGCGTTGTAGAAAAAAAAAAATAAGCCATACATAACTATCGCGTTGTGAAACTTTAAATGCGTATAATTATAAAGTAAATTATTCAAGTAATGCAGAAGCTTTGATTTAACTCGTAATCAAGGTACAAAATGTAACAACGTTGGGCGAGATAATATATTTTTTCTTAGTATTTTAGATATATATATTATGCATTATTAAGGTACATGTATTCAAAGTTCCATAACGCGTGACAGAGTTTAAAAATGCACACACTTGTGTGAAACTCTTATAATAATATTAAATTTAAAATAGTTTCTGAAAAATAATGTTTTCTCTCGAAATTAGATGTTTCCCTAGGTGATAATTTGGACACGCCTTGACGCCCCGTCACAATCACTCCACTCTCACAGGCACATTAAATTTTCGATCATCCATCTCATGAGACTTTTTTACGAAACCACATATTTTAAGTGAACGTTGTTCAAATGTTTTCGACTGCATTTTCAAATCTTGTTTGGTAATTTTTTTTGGTAATTTTGTGGCAACACTTTTTGACAAAAATTTTTGTTTGTATTTATTTATCGAAACCACTGACACTGACTCTGTATCGCTGTGTGATGTGAATCAATTTTTATTGATTTTATTTTTGAGTCTGAAACTTGTTTTTTTTTAAATTGTTTACGTACACTAACTAGTTGTGTGCATTTTCCATTTTTGGTGGTTCTTTTGAATGAAATTGCTCAATGTTTTTGAAAAATTGTTTGATGTGCCCCCCTACCCTCCTAGTTGGAACATAAATTAAAACAAGGCGGGATGCGTGAGTGAGTTTTTGTATGGTCGCACTGTCCCATTTTGTATTTTTGTATTTTTATAAAAAACGATATTGTGAATCGGACGTGATTTTTTACTTTACGCGCAACGTTGTAGCTGTGAGACGCTTATTTATTTTTGTAAAAGTAGTCGTTTCATGAAGGACAAACCTTCAACGCTCCGTTTGCCTTGAAGGTCTGTTCGTTTTCAAAATAACTGAATTGGTGTTAGATTTAAATTTAAAACCCGAGGTGTGTTTGGGATGTCTGTCTGCGAGCTGTGGATTAGTTTCGCTCTACATCTGGGAGGATGGACGCTGGGAGTGGCTTAAGAGTGCCCCTTCCAGCGGATGCCTGTCTTGCGGCGCAACCGCCGCTGTGGCGAAGATTTTTGAAAATATTCGCTATTTCTAGTTAATTCAAATATAGGGAGAAAGTATCGGATAGTTCGATTTCTCGTCTTTCGTTGTCTCGTTTCTCTTTATAGTTACATTTCTTGTTAAGGGTTTTATATTCCTGTTGCATTGACAATGCAGCGGGAGTACTTCTTGATTTCGCCTCGCAGTATTTTTAGTTTTGACTGTAGTTTAATTTCTAGATGAGGTCTGCTTTTCTGATGGATTTGTTACGTTTGTAAATGAAAACTGGGTTTTTTAGTTGATTTCGAGGAAGATTTAGTTATCGACGCTGCGAGGCGATGGTTTGTTCTCAGGATTATTTTAGCGTTTTGGTTCGTTAGTTTGTAGGTTGTTTTTGCTTGCTTTCTTGTTTACGCCCGGCGTGACGTCGCCGCGTCGGGCGTCTTCGTTGTTTGTATGTTGTCTGTTTTCTATTAACTTTAGCTATAACGGGTGTTCAACGCTATTGGATATATTTTCATTTTAGATTGTAATTTTGTCGTTTGGCATATCACTGCGTGACGTTATATTACACACTACGGGGGGCAATGTGGGTGTCATTCGATTAACATTCTTATAGATTTTTTGAAGTGAAATTTGTACTTTTTTAAAAATATCTTAGCTAACTTTGAAATGTAAAAGAGTTGTTGTTGTTAATGGTTAAAAGTCGGTGTTTCGTCCCCTCGTCGTTCTCTGAGTGAGTTTGTTTCCGCACTTTTCACTTACATGTACATAGCGAATCGATCGTACGTTGGATTTCTTAGTAAAATAAAATGTAAAAAAAATCCGCAATAAAAGGTTTTTTACGAGTCTTCGGAAGCGGACCGAGGTTAGGAAATTTTTTGGTCTTAGCGTCTTGGCCGGCGCGCGCGCACCGCGTCGCTCGGGCTGGTGAATTCTCGTGCTAGGATTTAGTGAAATTATTACATAATAAAAATAGCGAAGAGTAGCGCAATTCATTAAAATACCTACCTAGTTGAGTATTGTATAATGAAAATAGTACCTAAATACCTTATAACGTTGCTAGACAATATTATGTTTGTATAAAATTTCTTGCACCGTCAGTTTGTCAAGTGTTTTTACGAATTCTCACGTTTTGAAGTTCAAGAATTATCACCGAATAGCGTAAGCCGCGATGGTGCATCGAAATTATTTTTTTAAATGGATTTTTCGAATTACATTTGACTCCTTTACAAACCTAGCAAAATTAACAGTCAATTCTACATTCTTTTTTGACAAGTGTTAACAAATTTTCAAAGGAGTCATGTCACTATAATTTAATTTGAAATAAGATTTATATATTTTTATAAACAGTTATTTCAGCGATTGTTAAATAGAATCAATTTTGTTGAAAATTCGCGATTTTTGAAACTGGTATGAAATTAATTTGCTGACGGAAAGATTCCATTTGGTCCAATGTTATTACTTAGGAGCTACCTTTGTAAAAGAGATATCTAGTGACAGCTTTAGTGAGAAGTAGTTAAGGTTAATTTTTAAGCTTTCTTTTAGAGTTAAGCACATTTTTAACTTATTTGTTACAGAAATGCAATGACATCGTTTAAAGAAAAACCACTATTTAGCTATTTTACAACACGAGCCTTAAAAACGATGTTGTGGCATTTTTAAGATAGGATGGCATTGGATGGAATGGAAACTTTACATATATATATTTTTTTAATTTTAAAACAAATGTATGAAAAATGGACTTTTGTTGAAAGATGTGTTTTTTAAACTTGTTTCTAAATCTCTCTGCTTTTTGTAAGTGACAGCCCGTTTATTTAAATGCAATTATTTTAGACTATTGTGAAAATATATGAATTTGAAACTTTCTCCCCGTGTTTCATCTGTAGTTTGCTTGGGATAGTGCAATTGAATGGTTTTTTGTTTTGTATCTTATAACATCACATCGCTTTCGAATCTTTGTGTTGTCACAGATCCTATTTTTGTAAGTACATTTTTATTTTTTGAGCTGTATTTTCTCCGTTGACCAAAGACAGCGTCCCAAAGACGGTTTTACCAAAAAGACATGAGTGAGGGGCCCGACCCCGCAGTGATTCCTATTTTTACTTAATTCTTGGAGAAAGTGTGGCTACAGTAACTTTTTTTTTATATATTGCCCGCTCGTTTGGATGTATTTTTGAAGTTATTCCTATTTATTTATTTTTTACCTTTTTGTATAACTTTTTTTAATTTGTAGCTAGTTATTCACTATAGCTTGGTAATTGTTTATTGTTAGTGGTTAATACATTTTCAGTATTTTTCATCATTTTTTAAAAGTAATTTTACACCGCAACTAGAGTAATTTTAAGCTTTCGCCAATATTAAAAATAATTGCACATTGGCAGTAAGACAGTAAATATAAGAAGTATTTATGTATATTTAAACAAATTTGAAATAACTAAAAATGTAAATCGGTTGAAATGCTATGTATGTAGATCCATTTTTTTTAATCAGAGCTTTTGTTTTTCCCATGCAAAAGTGAGGTAACAGTTTTTATAAGTATATATGTATTTATGTAAAGTTATGTAAAAAACTAAATTTTACCGTAGATGTAACTAGTTTTGATTCATTTTGAGTTTCATTATTGTTTAAGAGTGAATTTTATTTTTTTGTTGTTTGAATAATAGTATTATCTTAGTGTTAATGACTTCAGGGGTGGAGTGTTTCACAAAAAAAGCGAAGGCTGATTTTAGCTACAGAAATATGGCAACACTCATATTAAACACCTTGCTTCCAAAGCCTTTGCAACACGTGCACAAAAATGATTTTTGAACAAGAGTTGCTACGAAACATGATATTTCTGTTTGAAACCAAGTGTTCGCACGTGTTTTTTTTTATTCAAATTTCTCGCTTACATCAGTAACAAGTTTCACTAGCGTGTGGATATGCTGCCAAACATAAAACGTAGGTTTATGCATAGGTCAATGTTGCATTAGGATTACAATCTGGTTGTTCATCTAGAATATTGAAAACATGCCTTACAGTATTTGTAATTAAATTTTCTTTAGGTGTTAGTCACAACATTAGTGAGCTAAATCAGTAGTTTATTTAAAATAACTTTGTTAACAAAGCACTCTGCCCCAAGTCGTGTAGGTATTGTTTAAACTGAAATACTTGAATTTTTATATGAATTTTATTATTATAATATGGTATTTTACTAAATATTAGTCCAATATTAAATCTTTATACGCTTGTTTTATTTTCTGTACCCCTAATAACAAGTTTTCATGAATGTAAGTATGGAGCTAATATTAAAATCGAGAAGCAGCTTGACAGAGCCAAATAAAGAATGACCTAGTACATATAGGCCGGGGAGAAGAAAAATAAACTTGGTTTAATATTTACAATGTACCACTGCAAACTCGTATTTTGTTGGTATATAGGTACGTTTTTTTTCTTATTTCTCTTGGCTCTTCGCGGTAAGCGTTTTAGCCACTTTCAAAGTGTTTTGACTACGTTAGGTACGTTATCAATGATGCAAAAAGTACTTTAATAATGTTCCTTAACGAAAAAATAAACGTTTCATAAATAACAGTAGCAATCTAGCATGGTCAACTTTATTGGTTTTGATGTATTTCAACATTGTTTGAACCACCAAATTTGCACAAGTCACAAGTTTACACTTAATCCTAAACCTAGGATTAAATTATTACGGATTTCTGACGAAACCGGAATTTGACGAACATATTATAAATCAGGGTCCTCGCGGCAAGGTGCTCAAGATGCTTTATGTCCCTTTTGTATGACTATGCTAATGTGTTGGGCAAGGTAGCTGCCGGCCCTTGGGTTTCCCAGACAGTCTACTAAGGATCGTATTCCAGAACTCTACTCAATGCTCAAGTCAGGATTTGAGTATGATTTAAAGCACTAGAAATCATACTCAAGTCCTTGCCATTAGGGTCGTATTTCCAGTGCTTGAGATCATACTCAAGTCCTGACTTGAGCTTTGAGTAGAGTTCTGGACTACGACCCTGAGACAGTCCTAAGTTACATATTGGTAGTTTGCAAGATATAGCAGTGACTTTTGGCGGACTGATGACAAAAAATCGGAATTTAATAGTCCTTACTGACTCTCGTTTCATTTAAATAACCAATAAACGGGTTGTTTTGATGTTGCTGCACGTTTTAACAAAATGCGTAAATAAAACGATATTTAGTAGGATATTAATCTAATTCATAGCAACATTTTATAACGCTAAGTTGTCTATGGTATTACGATAAGTTTTTTTGTAAGGCAAAAAGAGTAAACGAAAACACTATATCAAGTTTAATGGGTGATCTCGGTCTAATATAATAACAACCAAAAAAAAGTGATAGTATCGCATCTTTGATAGAATTAAAAAATGGCAGGTATTTGTAGTTTCAGTTTTTTCACGTATTAATTTCTAAGGGTCGTATTCCAGAACTCTACTCAATGCTCAAGTCAGGATTTGATTATGATTTCAAGCACTGGAAATACGACCCTAATCGCTAGGACTTGAGTATGATTTCTAGTGCTTTAAATCATACTCATGTCCTGGCTTGAGCATTGAGTAGAGTTCTAGAATACGACCCTAAGTCAATTATTAATACGTTTTGAGTTTCTTAATTGTTTGTTGCTTGTTTATGCTGATGGCTCTATAGCCAATGCTCAACAAATAAAAAATAATAAAACGTAGAGGTGGGTGTTTAAACGAAAAGCACTTAAAAAGTCTGTTTTTTAAAATAAGCACAGAAGTACACTTTGCATTTTTAGCGTAAGCGTTGGTCACTGGTCAGTTCTATAGGTACTCAACAATTTCATTTTTTAAGTTTCAAGTAGCGCCATCTATGTTTCCTAAACAAATTAATTCAATATAAGGTTGCAAGCTTTTTTAAACATAAAGTCTATGCGCTTTTTTTAAAACGTAATTCTAGATGACTTTTTCAGCGACAAATTAAAAAAAGTGAAAAGCGCTTTTAAAGCACTCTTTTTAAACGTACGTTTAAACGTTAAAAAAAACAGTTTTTTCCATTTCAACAGTTATCAACTACAATAGTTAAAAATCTTATGTTTTTCAACGCTTTTAAAAGCCAATTAATATAATATAATACTGTTATGTCATAAATACAAAATTTAACTCGTTTTTTTTCCAAAAAACTTACTTATCTTAAAACCTTTAGTGGTCTACTCTTGCGTTTCGCTATCAAAACAACGTTGCAAGCTTTTTAACATTAAAGTCTATGCGCTTAAACGTTTTCTAAACGATTTTGTTACATTCAAACTAGGGTCGTATTCCAGAACACTACTCAATCCTCAAGTCAAGACTTGAGCAGACTTGAGTATGATTTCAAGCACTGGAAATACGACCGTAATGACAAGAACTTGAGTGCTCATACTCAAGTCTGCTCAAATCCTAACTTGAGCATTGAGTAGAGTTCTGGAATACGACCCTTAAAAGCGTTTAAAAAAGCACGGATTCGCTCTGGACCTTTTGAAGGGAAAAGTGTCGTTTTTATTTTGACTTTCAATTATTTTGTGAAATCTAGTTTAAAGTGGAATAGGATAGTGCTATTGTGCCTTAATCGAACTTTAAAACGCGAAATTATACGAATCTCGAACTAAAATACCCGTATCGGCCCGTTTTAAGGAATCCCGAGTCAATCCAAGCACGCCGCGCCGCCTCAAATTGCCTATCCTCTTTGTGGCGGCCATATTTACAGAAACATATTTAAACTTCATGTTTAGGCTTTTGGCTTTGCCAAAGCCTTAATAAATAAAAAATAAAAAAATTTCTCATCTCTGCATCTTTGACATTAGAGTGAATTGTTTCTGGTCTAACTGATTGATTGTTTTTTTTCCTGTGAAATGTACGGCGAAATATTTTATTATTGAATTTTTCCCACTTAAGGAGCATTAAAATTAAAGAAAACTATACACATTTGTTGAAAACAAAATCTATTGTCTACGACAGTACAGTTATTAGTGAAGTTAGCAACGACAAAAATGTCGAATCCGAATACAATTTTCGAAAGTGTAAAGGCTAATAAATATGCTTTTAATCAATTTTCAAATACTGAGAACTCGTCGCAGGAAGAAGAGGAGAAGGCGTTATTACTTCTAGGCATGCATGACAAATATTACTGTCGTGATTGTAATTTATCTTGCTCGAACATCGAAGAATTTGAACATCATAATTTAGAATTGCACGGACAGAAGAAAATGATCACCTGCACGTTATGTACTGCTACTTTTCGACGCCAAGACCATTTGAAACGTCACATGCAAAGCCTGCACTACCACCAAAAATATTGCACATGTCCAGTTTGTGGCCGGGATTTAAAACGCCAGGACATTCTTCTAAAGCACATACAAAGGAAGCACACAACTAACAATGAAGTTTTCCACTGCAGAGAGTGCTCTTTCGAGTGTCATTCCCATAGTGAATTAGAGAAACACGAATTCACTCATTTGTTAGTTGAAAGACACATTTGTCAATATTGTCAAGCGACATTTAAACGACGAGACCACATGTTGAGACATGTTAAGTCTCAGCATTTGAACCAGAGTATATTGTGCCCGGTTTGCAATCAAACGTATAAAAGAAAAGATCATGTAGTACGGCACGTAAGGGAGAAGCACAAAATGGGATTTTTGAACGGGAAATTGGTAACGTCTAAAGATATGGTGTAGATATTTGTGGTAGCTATTTGTTTCTGTAATAGCCTGTGTATGGACTCTGTTGTCGTTGATTCTCTTCTCAGTGGATTTTGTTCGAAATTCACCAGTCAATCTTGAAGTTAAAAACGCTTGCGTTCCTTAACTTGGCTTTGGCGGATTTATTGATTGTATGGAAGGGATTGTAACATTATAAAGAAGGAGTAGAAGTCACATTTTTACAAAACTTCCATACATAGTCATTCTTACGTCACATTGGCAAAATCATTGATTATTTCTATGGAGCCATAACATCTAGAAGAAGAATTGCTGTTTAAGTGAAATACTGAGTCTTCTGTAAGAAGCTATAGTCCACTACGCTTGCTCAATGTAAGCTGGAGACATTCTTATAGTAGTTAAATAAATGTACCCGGAATCCATTTACATACATTCACTGCTAAGAGACCAACGGATGCATGTTTGGAGCAACATGAAATTTGCTCCGCGATCTTCTATATATGGTGAGAGATTTAAACATTTCTTGAAGGAACTAGAATGTTTGCTTTGAACAATACTGCCCTTGTAATGAAAAAATGCGTAACTGCATACTTTATACAGCCATTGTGCTTTTTTTGTTCTGAGGGCAGAATAGATCTCCGAATATACAAGGCTTGTGGCTTAGAGAAGGACTGGGTTACAATTCCCATTGTGTGTGAATTGTGGAAACTAGCTTTTGTAAATTTGTTCTGGTTAGGTGGTTGGTGTTGTTCACCATGCAACATGACGTTGCCAACTAGATTTTGATTTTACAACTAACAAATTTATTTATGCAGTTTTTTTTTGCGTACAAGGCATTTTGTTTTTCAAACTTTCAAAAAGGTTCAGTATCTGAGTTCACAGTATTGGCTTTTGTTTAATCGCATAGATAGCTAATATGTAGAAAAGATCGACAATACACCTGAAACTTTGCCTCAGTGGCTGTCAGTGGTTTGCTTTATTTACATAGCTACAGACATTGACTTACAATTATATGGACGTCGGGTCCGCGTTAAAAAGTGTCCGAACTTATAGGGCGTTAAAATCGTATACAGAGCGACATTCACGCTTTAGTCTTCGTTTGTTCGACTGACAGCGAAGCAAGCAAAATTAGACAGTACTGCGATGACATTATGATTTAAATTCAACGTATTAGCTTTTTCATATTCCTTTACATGTCACTATGTTTAAATAGGTTGACTTGGGACATTTTTTTCGTGGTTTTTGTATTAGACCCGTCGTCCATTTATTTGTAATTCAATGGCTACAGAGTAATGTTTACATAATTTCGCAAATCGACACATTTCTAGACTCTGTCATCAATTTGTAAAATTTTCGTTGACATGTATTCAAAATACAATGTTCCCTTTTTCTCTTTAAAGGCTTTTTGCCGAAGCGCCACCTGTGACAAATCTATGAATTTTTCACTCAACCAGATACCTCTACAGCTACCAAACTTTGACAAGAGATGTCACT